TCTCTTGAAATGCTCTTCTCTAGACTTCATTTATAACGCACTAACGAGCTGTGGACACTGATGACTGTCTGCGTCAAATTAAATGCTACGTGACATTTTGTTTACAAGCTGTTTTATTGCCGTCTTTCCGCGGTTGAAACACTGCTTGAGCGATTACATGAGGCGTGAGATGTTCATTCATGTTTATTTCACGTTAAAACTAGTTGTAAAGAGGAAGGAAAAATAGGATGCCGGGTGTATTCAAAGCGCCGCCATTACTGTCAGAGTGCGTGGAATGGTGCGCTGTGATTGGTTGAGCGGATATATCGCATTCTGCAGAAAAGGGAGACTGGCGTTTGTCGCGGTTTGGAAAAAAAGGGAGAAAACATGACAGAATAACTCGGCGGATATCGCATTTTGCGTAAAATTAAATGCGAATTGACTTTTCAATACCGACCAGATACAAAACTGATTTTGGCGGAAACTCAATTATATATACATATATATAATATATATATATATATTAAATTAAATTAAATTAAATTCAAGTTTATTTGTATAGCGCTTTTCACGATACAAATCGTTAAAGGCATGCAAATATAAAGTAGGTTACAGTGAGTACAAGAATGGGATATACACAATTATTTATATTGTATGCAAATTTTAAAATAAGAACTAATCTTGTACCACTTAATGATTATACATCTCCAATTATGCATGGCTCTAAAATGCATCATTTTCATATGGTCTATCAATTATTTTCTGGTTGGAGTTATTAGACACTGATGCAAGAGATGGTACATAGTTCTGCTTTTGTACAATCAGTGATAGACAATTTATATTTTGACCCAGTGCTTTTGGTACAGTGTGTGTTTAACTCATATATGACCTCATGACCTTTTTATAGACCCTCACTATTTGTGCAGACGAGATCAATTAGGAACAAGGAGAACAATCTATGAACGTCTCTCTGGCACTGAGGATGATGTGAAGTCTATATTCTACATATGCTATGCAGTAACCAGGGCTGTCACTGGACAAAATCTTTAGGGTGGGCCTCCCACTGGCTCAATGTTTTTTGTTTTATTGAGTAATTGGTCTAGACTAGTTCAAATGGAGATGCAAACAGGAAATTTCATCTGCTTCTACCACTGCTAATAAAAGTCTCTGTGAGCAACATCTCATCTCCTGACTATTGTCCTCTGCACGTGTTCATTACTATTAGTTTGAGAAAACAAAATTTACACAGTTGCATTTTTAAATATTTGCAGTGTCATTGCGTAGCATCATAAATAGTTGTCCTGTTGACTCCTGTCCTGTTGTCAAGATTTTCTTCAAGACAAAAGACTTTCCCTTTTTCATTCTTATTGAGAGTGTCAACATGCAAAAACACACAAAGCCCACAATAGGGAATCCCTGAGTTTCGGAAGTGTTGAAACAACACAAGACTCAAACAGTTCAAACAGGACCTCAGACATGCAGCTGAGTTCAAACAGAACCAACACAATGAATTTATTAGTTAAACTGAGGCAGGTGAACAGTTCACATAAATGTGCACGAGCTTATGTGAGACTGATTATTTATGGGATAATCTATTATAATCTAAGATATGTTTCCAAACATATTAACATCGTATTTTACATTCAATTTGCCATGTTTGATATGGCATGTTTATTGTTTATTTTCTGCAACCCACCATATGAAAGTTTCTTGTAAGTCTCTTGTCCAGACCAATTTTGGAAGAAGCATTCAGAAATAAGACTTAACAGAAAATTATAAAGTATAGCAAGTACCTCATTGTATTCTTTGAACTTAGCAGCATGAAATTGATGGGAAATTGTTACTTTAGAGCTTCAGAAATGTAGATATATGGCGATTATACGGTATATAAAATGAATTCCCAATCATAGGATTTTTTTTTTTTTTTACGCAAAGATGTTTCAAACTCTTCAGGCATGTGCTGATATAGAAATGTATGCTAATGTACATGTCTAACTCTCACTTGTCTTGGTATAAAATCACCCTCCAGTGTGATTCAGTGAACGCAGTCAGTACAACATTGGGCCACACATAATGTCTCTGATTTTCTGATCTCCCAATGTTTTAGGTAACCCATTATTTGTAAGAATGCATACTTTGCTAATACAACGTTGTGTATGTAGTGGTAGTGTTGGGACAGAGGTATGCTGTTTGCTACGGTGAAAGACATTGTCATGTGTATAAAGCTTCTTTCAAGCCTGAGGTGTTCTGAGTTTACTCAGTCTGTTAAAGAGCAGGGGGACTATTTGGAGATCTCACAAATCTGCTACAGGGTGGTCCTATGAGAAAGGAGGAGGACAGAACAGAAAAGGGAATGGACACAAAGAGGAGAGGGTATTTAAAGAGACACTTCTCAGTAGGTGAGACACAAAAAAAGCATTCGATTCTGGGAGAGGGAAGACGTTGAGAGAGATCAAGAGAAAACCATGGATACAGAGTACAATGCCAAAACAAATGCACCACGTTATCAAAGCTGAAGGTGATCCAGCAAAATATTAGCATGTGCAACTTTTTTTTTGGCCAGGCAGTGTATAAGATGGTTATTTAAGGGTTGAGAATGTATGTGACATAACCAGAAATTATATGAGAAGTTCTCTTTCCTGCTCATGTCATCCACTTGCTTTTTACACTAGGTGCAAGTGTGTGGCTCTCAGATGTCCGGGTCTCTGCCCTTCCCTTCACCCTCTCCCTTTCCCTCATGCGACTACAGAGAATGGTCTGCAACCTGGGTGCTGATTCCAAGCGTGTACCTCCTGGTGTTTGTCGTGGGCTCCCTGGGTAACGGCTTGGTGCTATGGGTGTACCTGGACCGCCGAGCGAGAGGCCGTGGGAGGATTGTAAGCGGTTCCAAATCTTCCCAGACCCCCGATCCATCTCCTTGCCCCTCCCCTACATCTTCTCGTACAGTAACAGAGTCTTTAATAGCCAGTCTAGCATTGGCTGACCTGGCCTTTGTCATGACCCTGCCGTTGTGGGCGGCATACACAGCGCTGGGCTACCACTGGCCCTTTGGCCAAGTTCTGTGTCAGGTGAGCAGTTACATTGTGGCACTGAACATGTATGCGAGCGTGTTTTCTCTGACTGGGCTCAGCGTGGAGCGTTACTGCGTCATCACACGAAAGCGTGGCAACGGCTCAAAGCAGGGACGGTCAACCACACGCGCCAAGTGGATTGTGGGTAGTGTTTGGCTGGCAGCTGGAATCCTGGCACTTCCTGCTCTGCTTCTGCGGACTGTTAGGGAGGTGGATTTGGAAGAGGGAGATGATGGCGATGGGCAGGATGGACATGCGTCCTCCTGTTTGTGTGACATGGACTACTCCAGTTTGATCTCAAGTGAGCTGAACCCAGCAGCTTCTGAGCAGGCAGAGCTGATGTGGTCAGCAGCTTTAGGATTAAAATCAACTCTGCTTGGCTTCCTGTTACCTCTTGTAGTGCTCCTGCTCTGCTATGGCTGGCTGGGGCGCCTTCTTTCCCAACACTTCAGCCTAGGCCCGCGCCCTGATCATACACGCCAACGCAGGCTCCTCCGTATCATTATCACCCTTGTGCTAGCCTTCTTCCTCTGCTGGCTACCCTTCCACACCAACAAGACACTCTCCGCTATGGTGGAATTGGGCATCCTTCCTTTTTCTTGCAGTTTTGACCAGTGGTTGGTGGCAGCCCATCCATATTCCATCTGTTTGGGCTACGGGAACAGCTGTTTAAACCCTCTGCTGTACGCTTGCTGTGATCCAGCTTTCCGGAAGCACTGCAGTGGTCTGCTTGTGTGCGTATGGGTTAAATACAGAGATCAGAAGGGAGGAGAGGAGAATGAACACCACAAAAGTTCACCAATACCATCTGGAACACATGAAGTGACAGTTAGTAAAGAAGAGCAATAAAGAGAGAATCATTTGGCAAACAGCCTCAGTGAGAGAGCTGAACTGTTTCTGTGGAAAATTCTTAAAGAGGACTCAGATTATTCTTTCCATTCATCTGCGAGATTTAGCATGAACTTCACCCCCTCAAGAAAACAAGATGCCAGTGTGGGAACTGATAAACAGACAGGATCCAGTGAAGGATTTCCCATGACATTATGCCTGAAAAGTGAAGAGGAGCTTACATGTTTTAGATAAAATACAGCTGCACCTCCCAACATTAGGATGCAATTCAAACTGTTTGCGCAGTGTGGCCATGTTGTTGAATTATGAACAGCTTAAGTATTATATTAGCCCTTCTGTACAATCATTTTTACATGTAACAAAACTTTGAGAGCCTGTATAGCCAGTGACTTTCAGGATCAGCAGGCATGTATTATTGTATTTATAAATGTACATGTATATAATAAAATTTGAAAAAAAAAAAACAGCAATTGATTGATTCCTGCGAAAGGTTTAAACACCTCAGCACTATCAAAACACTGCTGTTTGTCTGAGGATCTCTACCAGTACCAGCCTGACACAGCAGCATTGTCAAAACCAATAGTATGAATTTGGGGTGGGACTATCTGTATGAGCAATGGCAGATTGAGAGCGTTTGTAAACAGTCACTTTTGCAATTACATTTTACACTTGTGGTGCAGAAATTACACAAATAGAAGAGCTTGAATACAAAACTAGGACTATTCACTACTGGTTTTCCCATCACTATTAATAAAACAGGAAAAACTGTGGAGATATAAAGAAACAACACTTGACACCTTCATAGAAAACGCACAAATAATGGAAAAAAGGTTTGTGTTTTAATGAACTGAAAGACAAACAGAGGTTAATTGAGAAATATTCCATAAGTCATCACTGTGAGGCAGTCCAGTCTGATTTCAGTTGATCTGTCTCCATCAGAACCAGGTAATTACTCAGAACAGTACTGGATCCCAGCAGGATCAGTACACACACACACACACACACACACACACCTCCACTGGGTTAAGCATAGTACTGCAGATTGGCTTTCTTCTTCGCCTGCACCTCCAGAATGCCCTCCATGTAGTCCTCATGGTTAAGTTCAGTGGCCCCATGGCGCAGAGCAATCATACCCTAACACAAAAGCGAACAATACACATTTAGGTAACATGCAATTACAACAATCAGGAGCAATGACTACTCCCATAAGAAAAAACACAAGTTGTGCATTAAAGGGTGTAATTTTGATTCAGATTCTGCTTTGCAAACAAAAATCTCTTTTTGTCAGGTATCGTCAGACATGTTGTATCTTGCATTAAAGCATATGAATGACTGAAGTACTTTTTAGTACACATGTGCTTCCCCTTTTTGGAATCAAACTTGTCACACAACTGACATCCAAGTCCAGGGACTTAACCACAATGCTAATACCACCTCAAAAAAAAAAGAAAAAAAAAAAATGTAGTGCCTGATGTCCCTGCTTACAGTTGTGATTATTTTTCATAAATTTGCCTTCATATCTCACAATTGTAACTTTATTTCTCTCAATTATGACTATATATATCTATTTATTTATGATTATTTAACAAACACATATGTTGTTTATTTTAAGCTTTCTCACAATTAGCTTTTTTATTATTTGTATTATGTATTCTGGGACTTCAATGGATGTCAGATGAGGTTTTTGATTGGGAGAAAAACGTGCTGTTTTGGCCCTTATTTATATATTTATTTAATATTATTGGATAAGGCAAATGTATTATATATGCTTTGTGAGATGCATTGGCAAAGAAAAAATATTTTATGGTAAGGGCACACTATAAATCAATTTAATTACTCATCATAATAAGGGCTATTTTTAGAGTTTGATCATTACTGGAGCACATGACCCCTGAAAATTTCACAAAGCTACTTTTAATTATTATTATTATTATTTTTTTTTTCAAACCTAACAGCACCAGTTTTTGGGAATATACTTCATAATAATTAATTTTCTAATCACATTATGTAACAAACATGTATGTGCTGCAGATCATTAGGTCAGCTTAATTTAAAGGGGTCATATGATGCTATTTTAAAGATCATTATTGTCAATCTCAATTTCTGCTCAGGCCAAATTAGCGTTATTTGAACCCCCAAAAGGGCACACTATAAATCAATTGAATTACTCATCATAATAAGGGCTATTTTTAGAATTTGATCATTACTGGAGCACATGACCCCTGAAAATTTCACAAAGCTACTTCAAATTTTTATTTTTTATTTTTTTTCAATCCTAACAGCACCAGTTTTTGGGAATATACGTCATACTAATTTATTTTCTAATCACATTATGTAACAAACATGTATGTGCTGCATATCATTAGGTCAGCTTAATTTAATTTGCCATATAGGTCCTTGTTAAAATTGCCTATGTAAACTTTTTTTTAGGTATAAAAACTGGTATTGTTTTAGTTGATGACCATACATTTATACCTTGGAACTCCATTTTATCAGGGTCATTTTTAAACAAATTATTATAGTTTTTATTAAGAACAATTCTTTTTCCATTATTATAGCCATTTCCAAAAACATTGTATTTTTACCAACTATGAATCCTTTACTAGAACTAATGTCTGAAACCTAACATAAACTTTACATAATTGAAAACGCTGAACAGTGATATAAGACAAGCGGCTGAGCACCAGCGCAAAAGCAGACTTTCATTTATCTGTTCAAGTCACGCACTCTCTAAATACACTGATTGTAAGTGTCAAAGGGTTAATAACTGCAAATCGCAAAGGATGCAATTAAATTAAATCAACATTTGCTGCGTGTTTCAGAGTGAAGCACTATTGCACGAAAGCAGCTCATGATCGTGTTTTCAGTGTCTCAGAGAGGCTCGGTCTGCAGTAAAGGCAGAGATAGATTTCGTGAGGGACTATGGAGCAGCACCTGCTCTGAGTTTGGGTCGCTTTTAACCTGTATTTGGGAACGCAACATGCACCAAACAATACTTGTAGCTAGAAGGGCTTATAAATCGGCTGTTGTAAACAAATGAGACGCTTTAATGGTCCCTGCAGTTTTGCATCAAAATAAAAGTTAGATTTTTTTAACATTTGAAAATGAAGAAATAGTAATACTGTTACTGGTAATTGTACTGTAAAATAATAATTTTTTTCTTAAACACCAATTTTTCTGTGAAATATTACAACAGTAAGCAATAGCAATCATAATTTTATAATAAAAAATTAAAAAAAAAACACATCAGACTGATTTTTTCCCCCCAAATCATGCAGCCCTAGCACTGATGGTTCTCTGTTGCTCAGAGACACTGCACCTTTGTTTGGGCTGCACAGGCTCTGGCCAGCAGGGTCTTTCCTGTGCCTGGTGGTCCGTACATCAGAACTCCCTTTGGTGGTTGGATCCCCAGATTCTCAAACTTCTCTTTGTGGTTCATGGGCAGAACAATTGCCTCCACCAGCTGCAAAAAGAGAAGCAGTTAGTTAAAAAATAAATCAACTAATATTTTGTCTACAATACGGTCATTGATCTCCTTCATTACCTCTTGAATCTGCTTGTCAAGGCCACCAATGTCACTGTACTGCTCTGTAGGCCTCTCATCCACTTCCATAGCCTTAACTCTAGAGTCATACTCAGTGGGTAGAGTCTCCAAAATCAGGTAAGAGTCTTTATTCACACCCTGTGAAAAGGTGCAGAAGCAAATTTAACATGTTTCTAGGGAAAATACTTTTTAAACAACATTATTTAAGGTTGTGAATATCCTGAACTAGTCCGTAAAGGGAAATTAATCCTCACTTACCACAAGATCACCAGGTTTCAGTTTCTCAGCATCCACCAAACCAATCACAGGCAGGAAATAGGTCTGCAATTATAGTACTATGTCATACACTATAAAACCATTAAGATCAATTATATTATTTGCATGTTCTTTAAAGCCTTTAAATCCATTTCATTTGCGTGCCTGAAGTGTGCGCACACTAAAAAGCCTGTCAAACAGTGCCTGATTATTACTGACCAAGTTATCTTTCGCATCTGATAGTGCTAATACTGTCAACACACACAAGGTTTACATGTAAACACAATTGGTTATGTCTAAAGTGAAAGTAAAGAGTTGAAAGAAAAATGGATGCTAGCCGGTCTTAAAGTGACAGCAGACTAATAGTATTAAACATGCTACCGCTTATGGGATAGCTCACCCAAAAATTTAAATTCTGTTATTATTTACTCACTCTCACGCTGTCCCAATTTCTGTATTAATTTCTTTCTTGTGCTGATCCCCACTGACTTTGATAGCAGGGAAAAAAAATTCTACGGAAGTCACTGGGGACCAGCAACTAATTGGTTTCCCACATTTAAAAAAATAACTTTTATGTTCAACAGAAGAAAGAAACTCATTCAGGTTTAAAACAACATTAGAGTGAGCAAATGATAAAATAATTTTCATGTTTAGGTGAACTCTCTCTTTAATGTTAATAAAATAACTAAACAAAGAGAAAAATCACTAACTGCTCTTGACTGAAGAACTTTAATACAGTTGCTTTAATAAGAATCAATCTATAATTTATACAGTGAAACGTGCTTTATTTTTATATTTGTTCATTCAATTTCTTGAATGCTACTGCTAACTACACCAACTGTAGCTGAAAAATAAGGCACTGTTTGTTTATTTGTATATTATGTGTATTTGTAATGTGAATCTTTGTTCTTATTTTTTAATAACGAAGATAATGACAAACATTTTTATCTTCGCCCACTTTGGCCTAAATGTCTGCCATTCTTTTTTATTTGTACGGCTTTGTTTTTAAAATAGAGAAATTAGTTTGGCTGTACTGCTCAGACACCTTGCAAAATAGTAAAACCGACATGACAAAGAATCGTGATAAAATCATGAATCGTGATTTTCCTGAAAAAGAATCCTGATATGATATTTTTTCTATATTGCTAGCCCCTAAGATAAACTGGCTAAAAACAATTCAAAACACGAATCAGTATTAAAACACACACACACACACACAAAGGAAAATGTTTGTGATGAAGGAAAAGAAAGCATGATGGAAATTCATGGCCACACAAAAACAAGGCTGAAGCTGTTCAAATAACATAATTGACTCACCTGCCGTGTGGAGGTTTTGATGACGGCACACTTGCCCTTCCTCTGCGAGTCCAGATCAATATTGGCTCCATCCTCCTCTTGGTCATTAGGATCTACATCTAGCAGCTTCCATTCAAACACACAACACATACAAACTTTAAATCTCATGCACATACTGATGCGGACCAAAAAGTGTCCTTATGTCCCATTCTGACACACCAAATAAGATGTCTAAAATAAAGAGGACATATTTTACCTCTATGACGTTAGAGACGAGGTAGGGCAGAGTCTTGTTCACTTTGATTTTCTCTGTGTTTTCCTTGATCTTGTCTTTCATGGCTTGCAGCTCATGAGTGACACGCAGAACCTCACTCTTCATGATCTGCAATCATAAACATCATAATGAGGTACAGAACTGCATGCAGACACTGAAAACAATCATCAGCACACTAAATGTGAATCACAGTATGAAGGTTACCTTAATCTCACTGTCCAAAAGACGAGTCCTCTGAACAATCTCCTCAGTGGACATCTTAAGGACTTCTTCGCCGATGCCATCCTATAAAATATAACAGAGGAGTCATGTTTGAATATACGTTCTGTTTTAAAGTCCTCCAGCCTCTAAACTCATAAGCGTCAGATACACTATATTTACAATGAGTAGCAATACTCATACAACATCTCCTGTTTAAACTGAATACGAGCAGCAGGAAGCTTCAGTTCCATTGATCACCATTAGCTCACGCTGCTAACGTTATCCTAGCAAGCCATAATCACACTTGTACTAAAGATGCATTGCGATCTTTTAGAAATTTTAGACCGAATAAAAATTTGAAGTTGTTCTGTCATTCTCTAACATGAATGATCGTACGGGTGAATGAACACACTTATAAAGACTGAATGAAGCAAAGTGAATTTCACTGTGTCATGCTATGCTCTTCCATCAGAAAGCCATCAGACCCAAAGCCGGTGCTGAAACACCATTTAAACACGTCTCTCCTAATACTTTTTTCTGCACATATGTACTATATTTACCAGTTTTGGAAAATAGTATAGAACACCCCCCCCCAAAAAAAACCATAAAACAGACCTCCACCTCATCCCAAACTGATCTGTCATTCAGCGACGACATCTTGAAGTGTTGATTCTGCTCTTTTTCTTCTTCTTGTAGATTTTTGGCGGTTGGCAAACCTGCTCATGGTGCATTACCGCCACCAATTGGACAGGAGTGTAGAGTGCCAAATGAAAGTGAGAAAAACCAACAAACAAACTGTCCGATTACTTAACAGTGTACGTTCATATGATATTTAAATCCTTTCATCTAAAGCTGTTATTTTGAGATATTTTAATAAAGCACTGTGTACATTTTGCAATGTGACGTTATGTTTTCTGCTTCATATGTGACACAGAATAGAAGCACATGTTCAACAGTTACATAGTCCTGGTCACCTGGTTTTTAAAACTTATAGCCATGATGAAATAAAGGCTTTTTAAAACTTTTTGAATAAGATTCGAGTGCCTTGGACTACTATTATTCTTACGAGTTGAATCATCCCTTGCACCCAAAGAGCACCGAGACAAGAACCCTATACCCCGTGCAGCACTTCTTTTGCATTCTTTATTTCGAGTTACATAGTCCTGTTTCATGTTTTCCTATTCTGGATAAAGAATAATTTAAACCAGTTATTATTGTGTTGTTTCCCTTTAACCAGTCTTGCTTAGTACATTTATTTTGCTGGATCTTCAGCTACTTTGTCTTCTTGGACTCCCAGATGTGTAGGTACTCACATGAATCTTAACATTTTTCCCATATTCTATAATTTAAGGAAATTTAGAAGGATTTTATAAACTATATTTGGTTGTGATGTAGACTATGAATCTAAGCATATTACCATATTCAATGACTGACCTTCCTCTACCCATTCAAGGGCTAAAAGGATAGTGACTAATTCTGTTGTAAAAACTGAAATATCGTTAGGTGTCCTCTTCTGTAAGCTAACTTTGAATTTTGGGATATATATTGATTAAGCTGTATGACCAGAGTTAGGATTCTTGGATCCATATGTACTGTATATATCCTGAGCACTGAGAAATATGCCTGATTTAAATATAGATTTACAATAAATTGATGAGGGTAGAATTCTCATTTTTAAAAATGTATTCTTCAGTTGGAAATCAACTCCAGGCATAAGGAGATGTAAATAAGAATTCACAATGGTTAAATTTGCTACACTTAACAGTGTATGCTAACTCTGCTCAAATTACTTCAAGAAAGATTTGTTCATTCTGCATAATGAAATTCAGTAAAATGATCCAATCTTCCCATTACTGCTGCTCAAATTTAAGAGGGTGGAGTTAGGGGTCAGGGTGCGTCATAGGGGTGGCTGAGCTGGCGCTGACCCCAACACTGCTTTAGGGTCATTATAAAAAAAAAACTAGTTTCCTAGAAATGCTGCAGGAGACAATGAAAACTGATTTTCTGTACTCTCCGTACTCTAATGTCTACTCACTCACATAAAATGAAGACTCCAAGCATATCAATATTTTACAGCACATACTGAGATCACATGACAAACTGAACACTTTATCTGCCATGTTGACCAAAAAAAAACAAAAACAACCCTGAGTGTATTGTATATTTTACCATATTAATAGATTTAATTGCTTAATGTGGTAATATTAACGGCATTAAATATAATTGATGTACATGTGCGTTACATTATAATTTTACATTATACATAATTGTAGACAGGACACTTAAAACATTCAGCTTTACTACTCCAGCTTAGCTTTGGTTGATGCTAATCAATTTAATATTTTTATCTTTTTGAAACATTTTATATCATCAAATGATAACTTGTCAGACCCCAAGTTGAAATCTCATAAAAACTCATAGCAGTTAATCCCCATTTAATAAATCTTTTTTTTTTTTCATACTTTCTTGCACCATGATATTATGTAAGTAATATATATATGGTTTTTGCAGTTCTGGTTAAACTGTATTTCATTATCTTGACAATGACAATAGAACTGAAGATGAAGAACAATGTTACAGCTAGTTTCTAAAATGTTTCTGTATGTTTAGCACCTGTCTGTTGTGCAGATGATGGATGACTAAGACACAAAGACAAAAAAAGCATTCTCACATTTATTTGGGTCAAATAGAATGTCATTAGAAATAAAAATCTCGACTGATTTTGACTAGACTAGAGCTCAGATGGATGTGGCTGGAAATCACCCTCCACAACACACACAGTTCTTCCTCTCACATGGACACACACAACACAGTGTACTATTAACAGGGTACAGAATTTCTTGTTTGTCAGTCAGTCAGTGCATGAACCAGTAGAAACAACAGCAGATGTAGAATTACTGTTTTACTGACAAGCAATATGGTCAAGCACAAAAAACAGATGTAAGGGGCCTGTACTGGACTCAGGCACAGATGGTCTAGAGCGCCCTTGAGTGCTCCACTGAAATTATACTGTGGTCTGTTTTACTTGGTTATGTATACAAATCCCTGGGTATTAAAATAAAGCTATTTATGTTTCACGATTTCAAATCGCATCGTAATGTAGTGAAAACAATGTACTGATAAAATTAACAGCAATAATTCTGGAGGCTGATGCGGACTGATTATCAAAAAAAGTTTGTCATCTTAAACAAGTGTATACGAAGAATTAGGAGTCCAACTTTGTGGGCCAGCTCAATTATATTATTATAATTTTAGACTATACTGATAGCTTCCCATTCAAAAAAATCTCTTCTGCTCAATGGCATACATCTTCCCTGCAGGCAACTTTCTGAAGAACAGACTGTTGCCTCTGCTCATGTTGCCCTGAGACACACAAGAGGAGAAAAAAAATGATCAATTATATTTTCTGACAGTTTCTTTAAATGGTAACATTGCTAATGCAGTCATTCCTAATAATGAAGTGTCTTATTTAAGTAGGTCACAGTAGAAAAACATTACCAGGTACTGTAGTCAACAAAACTTTTTCTGTTGCTCAAGATGTTCTGTCACTCATCCAGTTTAACAGATCAACTTATATGGATGACAAGAGAAACATCTTTATCTTAAAGGGTTAGTTCACCCAAAAATGAAAATTAGGCTGCGTTTTACTCACCCCCGAGGCATCCTAGGTGTATATGACTTTCTTCTTTAAGACGAATCCAGTCGGTCATCCGGAACTGCTTCTGTGTACAACAGTGAGCGCAAGCTACATTAAAGTGATTATTACATTTTGAATATGGATATTTTTCTTACAAAAACGCATCGATTCGCTACAGAAGGCCTTTGTTCATCTTCTGGAGCCGTGTGAGACACTTTTTTTAAGGATGGGCGATTTTTATTTAAGTTCTTTTGGACAGAAGCAATGCAACACCTGCTGAGTGGCATTAAACAGCTTGAAAGATCAAAGACCCTTTTTAATATAACTCCGACTGGATTCGTCTGAAAGAAGAAAGTCATATACACCTAGGATGCCTCGGGGGTGAGTAAAACGCAGCCTAATTTTCATTTTTGGGTGAACTTAACCCTTTAAGCAACAGAAAAAGAAAAAAAAACAGATCCAGTTGACAAGAATAAATCACTTCCAGGTTGTTTTAAGCAGTCACGTAGGTAAACTCATTATTACAGTATTGTGCCGCTTTAATTCTATTAGGCCTTTAATTCGATTAGTCTATTCAGATTCCAATGAACATTAGAAGGTCATCAGTGGAAGAACTGAGACATTCAAGAAAAGTTAACAAAATTCAAATCCCCATTCCCAGTAACTCGTATCAAGAAAAATTGCTCACCTCTCGGCTCAGGTGACTCCAGCAGTGGAGCCAGTTTGGATAAATGGCAGCATAAGGTGGCAGACCTCCAGCCAGCCTGGGTCAGATCAGGAGAAACATTGCTTACAATTTATTATCCGTTTATAACAATCACTCCATTAGTCTTAAATATTGCAAGGACATACAGGTGATGTCATTTTCGGCAAAGAATAAGAAGTGAATAAATTAACTATAGTCACAGAGCTTGATCATTTGAAAGGGGTGAACAAGTATAAAATTACAAGCTTCTTATGAAGTTCTCTGTTCCCAGTTCTCTGACTACTGACTCACTATTCATGTACAGTAAAATCTCCTTTAATGCCATTCACAAATGCTTCCACTAGAGTCTCACAACATCCCTTACCCACAGTTATTTACTGCCATCAGGTTGGACACCAATACAAATGGATACGTCAGCATACTTGCAAAAAACTGAGTAAAAGTCGAAAAGAAAGAAGTACAAAGGTAAAATATGTTAGAATGAGAGCAATAGCACAACCTAGTCAAACAAAACAACTCTCTTTTGACACACTGGCAATAGGGTTGCCATTGGCTGATACATTTTTTATTGTATTTGCCAGACACGCACACAAACATATATACTGTATAAAGCAAAACATCTCTCTCCAATTTACTCTTTCAGCAGGCGTTTTCCAAACCAAGAGTTGTCTTGTGTTTTTTACTTCTATATTGTTAGATTACTTCTATATTGTTCTATATTGTTAAATTAGACACCTTTTTTATTTTTTATTCTTACAATTATATTATTAGTATTTTTAATACAATTTAAAGGTGTAGGAACATGAGAGCAATAGCACAACCTAGTCAAACAAAACAACTCTCTATTGACACACTGGCAATAGGGTTGCCATTGGCTGATACATTTTTTATTTTACTTGCCAGACACGCACACAAACATATATACTGTATAAAGCAAAACATCTCTCTCCAATTTACTCTTTCAGCAGGCGTTTTCCAAACCAAGAGTTGTCTTGTGTTTTTTACTTCTATATTGTTAGATTACTTCTATATTGTTCTATATTGTTAAATTAGACACCTTTTTTATTTTTTATTCTTACAATTATATTATTAGTATTTTTAATACAATTTAAAGGTGTAGGAACAATCTGAAAAGTCCCAATCTCATCAGCTTCTCCTCATAAAACAGCACAGCTTTTTAAAATTAAGTATATACATTTATTTGTAATATCATTTGAAAGCATAAGAGCTAGAAACATCAGTCAATAAAGCATTTTTTTTATTATAGAACATTAATAATTGGAACTGAAATGTGGCAACCATGTTTTAATGAAAATGTATAAATGCGTATTTGTTATTTTAAACAGAAAGTATGGGCTGGTGGTGGTGCTTGAGACATTATTCGTCATTTAATGTTTCTGTAAAAAAATGACTTACCCCGGTCACAGCTTGAGAGCAGTTTTTGATCTCTCCTGTATGACTCGTCTGAAACAGACACAACAGAATAATCAACTCAGCACATAACATGCAATTATGATTGATACTTGTGCACAACTGTTGTACACAAGTATGCAATGTACAGTATGCAATGATGAATCAGTAAATACCAAAAGATTAAAAGTATCTCACATACATAAAATGAAATTTTGTACAAATCTAGGGTCAAGACGTTTTGTTGTTTGTACACAAGTTTGTGTGTTTACATACCGAGTCATCTATAGCGTATGTGTTTATGAAGTGAGCAAGCATGTTGCAGATCCACAGGGAAAGAACATCACCCAGTAGACGAGGAATGAGGCCACTGTAGGTTGGCAAACACATAAATGCTAAAGTTAAAGACACAAAGGGTTGTAAAATGGCCTGACAGCCACTCATGAAATTTTTTCATGTCAAGCCTACTCAATGTTGTGCTATTTTTTATATATTTATTTATAACTTAAAATGGCAAGTAGATTAGTAAGGCTGACCATTTTTTTTCACATACATGCACTTTTAAAATGGTGCCATACATTAAAACAGTACAACTTTTAAAAATGCATGCTGAGGCAACCCATAGATTACCTCATTTGAAAATATGTAATTTTGCACTTACGCAAAAAAACCCAGGATTCCCTCTTCTCTGTAGATGGTAACTATGGAGTCAAAGACACCACTGGAAAGAACAAAATAAATTATTAAATGTGTGAGACAGAAAAGAGAACTGTCCCTGTAAAGTAAACAACTGACCTGTATTTGGCTTCTCTACCAATAAACTGGACCATGCATCTGAGAGTGATCACTGGGATTGGAAAAAAGACAACAGGTGACATTCACAGACTGAGAGAAAAGTGAGATTCAAATCACAAAATCTGTTATTTATTGTATTAACTGTATTTACCATGAAAAGGGTGTGTGACAATTGTAGCACATGAGCGTGCAATCATCTCTTTAGTGGTCTGAGAAGACAATAAAAAATGGGGGGGGGACATCAAAAACACACACAAAACATTTCACATCTCAGAAAACAATAACTGGTGCAAACATGAAAGTCTGTTTGCAAATATTTTCTACTTGTGTCATTCAGTCACATCAGGCCTTGACTGATATACATGAAGGTAGGGCTGGGTGATAAAAAAACGATAAAGATAATTATCACGATACAATTTTCCACAATAAAACGGTAACAAGAGTTCGAAAAATGTTCGACACCCCTTTTAAAGAGGTGGTTGACTGTTTTTTTCTAGGCTTGATTGTGTTTATCGTTATCTCGACTTAATATTTTCTCGTTATCTCGACATAACAAAAGTTTTTTTATACAATGGCTGTGTCCGAAATCGCCCCCTATACCCTCATTCACTATTCCCTACATTAGGT